CAGAAATGCCATGCATATCACATGAAAGCGCAGGAGCAGAGCTTTCCAATGATACCACACACATCATTGTGCTGTCATCCCATCACGCTATAAATACAGATCAAGTGTCTACAAAATAAAAACCTGACGAATTTCTTTACAATCCATTATACAGATCTTGTTAAAAGATCTCCATATTGTCCAGTTGACACTCAAACTTTGTATGACAAAACCAGTGCATTTCACCTTTGCGCACCCAAACAACTGAGGCCTAATTATGCTTGCCTGACAGGGCCGTAGTCACCATATACATTGAGGGGGACACTTGCCCCCCCACTAATGCCCAAAATGTCCCCCCAATATATAACTGAAACTGAAAAACAAATGTTATCTTGGAGGACATCATTGCATTTGGTTGACTATTTTTCTATTATCTTAGATGTAAATATTGCATGTTTCTTTCAGATAAAACACATTTTTGACTTGTGAATGAGTCAATGGAAATTCTTGCAATAATGAAAAAATACTGGCAATCATGTCCGCCTGGCACAAAACACATGTTTTGGACAGCTGTGAAGTGACAGAATGTCCCAGCATCATGGTTCTTATATTGCCAGATTCCAGAGAGTCTCCCCTCTTCATATATGGCAGAATATGTCAACTTCCAACTTGCTATGCTGAGATACATGTAAAAATGTAAGAATTTAGTCATACGGATTTGTAGGACATGAAATGATGGCAAATCTGGTTAGCCCAGATTGTCCTGAAAAAAACAAGATATAGCATGTGTATGTAGCCTTTATAATGACTGTGATATGAGCTTAAAAGTAAAGGCAGTAAAAATACCCCAAAAAGGCCTAGGGCCCAAAGGGTTAATAGCCGAATAAACGTCTTTCTCCTTAATAAGAAAGTGGCATATTCATTACTGCACATGGACACTGACGCCACTTGCAGGCCACTTGCAGTGCTCTGTAAGCCTGTGTTAGCAACCTGTGCTCCAAGGTCAAGATCAAAATTAAGATCAAGCTCAAGATCATGGTCAGGATTGCGATCAAGATCAAAATCAAGATCAAGATTAACTTCATTGTCTCACAAAGTGGCACATTTGTCTTGGGCTCTACACCCATACTGCAGCCATAAAAATACAACATTGTACGTGAACAAATCTAAGTAATACACCATAGGTAACAATAACAAAACAGAAAACAAGTGTAGCAACTTTGCCTCTGGACTTCTGTTCAATTTCGGGTGTCATATGCCATCAGTAAGGAAATATATCACAATGTGGGACTGTCTTGCATTAATCAGCAATAATTTAATGATGGCCAGCTAGCTAGTTAACTACCAAAACATCAGTATGCTCCTAGCTTCTTTTCATCCATCCATTTTTGTAACCACTTATCCTCTTGAGGGTCGCGGGGGGGGGTTGGAGCCTATCCCAGCTGACATTGGGTGAGAGGCAGACACATAGAGACAAACAACCATTCACACTCACATTGACACCTACGGACAATTTAGAGTCACCAATTAACCTGCATGTCTTTGGACTGTGGGAGGAAGCCGGAGTACCCAGAGAAAACCCACGCTGACACAGGGAGAACATGCAAACTCTGCACAGAGGGGCTCCCTCCTGGGATCTTTTCAGTTATGCTTATTATAAAGAAAAGGAGCCTGTTACATCAAATACGACACTTATCTTTATTTTTAAGTCTTTATTAACAAAGACAATACATTTGTGAATTTCTTTTGTTGCTTGTGTAGCCATCTAGCTGATGGATTCTTAGGTTGCTTTTGGAGTGTGCCTCTGAAAACCTCCATTTGGAGGGCCTTGTAGCGCTTACCCTTAGCCCTACTCCTATCCCAACAAGAATCGGAGCACCCTATCCCCAGATATAAGCACGCAAAACAGGGGGGTAAGGGCTAAGTGGTAGGGGCAAGGGGTGTATTAGGCTGGGCCTTCATAGTCATGATATTATCTCAGACCAGTCATTAACACTGACAGGTCAAAGGCATGCAGCAGCTTAAATGGTAGCTTAGTTAATATGAAAATCTTTTCCACCACAGACATTTTTGTTCAGGTTGTATGCATTAGATTAGTTTCATCACCCTCAGAAAGGGGTGAATCCATTCTCTTAATGTAATTTGTGGAAAATGTACCATGACAGTGTAATTATTTTGAGGGGGCCAATTTGCATTTCCAGTGCTCTGCTAACTAAATGCTACTGTAGGTTCTAAGGCCTTTAAGATAAATTAATAATCTAGAGTATTTAAAACCCATGAAACATTTAAATTAAGTAATTTCACTTCCTAAAGGGCATAGTGGAGATTTTTCCATACATATGCAGACAGACACACTTTTTAAATAAACATCAGCACTAATCACTGAGACAGAAATCAGAGTGAGAGCAGAAAATATTTTCTGGAGCTTTTAATGGTTCCTTTTAATGGTTCCTCAGGGGCTCCCCTCTGACTTAGATTAGATGGGATTTAGACAAAGTTGATGCATGCATCCTCTTTTACCAAAACTTGGAATTCTTTTTTATCTCAACACATTTTTAGGATCACAGACTCGAATTTCACTGTGTACTTTTTCACCGATCGAATTACAACACAAGTGTTTCTTATTCAATTTAGGCAAGGAATTACAGCGGAGTGCAGCAGTGCAGAAAAACAGAGCTATATGGGGCATTGCTGTGCAGCAGGCTTTGATCAACTTTTAAGGGAAATCGATTGGAATTGTTGCTCTGCCCCAATTTAGAAGACATCTCATCAAACTGAGTTGCAAAGGGTCTAAAGACTACAAGTGTTCATTTTTGTTCCCTTAGTGCTGCAAATTTAGTAATTGACTCTGATTTTTGGCTTCAGGCAATAACCTAATAAGGCCATCCAAGGTTAATGATAGACCCTTTTTAGACTGGCTGAACGTCTGACACCGATATGTAGTGGTAGTGAAAAACAATTATTACTTACATGAGAGACACTCAGGGCAGAAGCCTCTGACATCTGAGTGAAACGCTGTTACTCTGTGTCTTATTCGCTGCTGTGTTGTGTTATAGTTTGGTCTGTGCATCAGATGTAACCGTTGGACATTAGATCAAAATGCCACAGTTGTTCAGACAGTGAGAATCCCAACAGTGGCTCGTGTTTCTGCTTTACAGCCGTCTCTTCCCAGGAACACCAGCGCCACAAATCTCAGTGATTTAACATCTTTCCCGTCCAAGCAGCTGGAGTCAGCACAAGTGTCATGTGCCATTGCCAATCTGCTGTCACGCCGTCCTCTACCAAACAATTTATCCCTTCCCCTCCTGCTTTATTAGCCATAGATTATGGGTGGTCGTGGACGCTGTAGAGCCTCTGCTGTCGAGGTAGCCTTGTAATTGACTCTGGGGAGGCAGGGTGGATAATCATTTGAGCGTAAACCACAGTATCAGTAAATAGCTGTTGGATACAACTGTTTTCAGTTTGTTTTTTTACTGTTACTTTTCAATTAGGTTAAGTTTTTTTTAGCAATTGTAGCAGCTTGACTCCAGGGATGACACTGTCGGTCTGTTTGTCAGGCCAAAACTTTGGTCCAGACTGAATTATATCAACAACCATTGGATGTATTTCCATGAAAGTTTTGCACATAGTCTTGTTTCCCCAGAGGATGAATCTTAATGATCCGCTGACTTTTCCTCTAGCGCTACCTAGAGGTGAAAGTGTTTTTTTGAGTAAAATGTCTCAATAAATTTTGGACTGATTGACATCAAATTTATGACACTCATTCAAGCCCTCCTGATATCTGTAACTTTTAATCTGTATGTTGTTTGAATTTTGCACCATTTAAGATACACAAAATGACAAAAATAATCAATAATATACAGTTCAGGGGGAGCCAAAAAACCCAGTGGACTTATTTGAAACCGCCATTAAAATGTCAAAATTTCACAGTGTAATGGAGAACATTAAATCTTAGATATTAGCGAATATTAAATCTAGCTCCATCATCAGGTCGTAATTGTCCCATAGTTCGTCACCAAATACTTGCAAAACTAAAGATCAGCCTCAACTGTAGTTTGTATTTATTGCTGATTAGCAGATGATAGCATGCTAACATGCCAAACTAAGATGGTGAACACGAGGCTCGACAGTAATGGTTGCCATTGACAACCATTTTTAAAATTGGCAACCAGTTTTTGGCCTTTGGTTGCAATCAGTCGAAACCACTTTCCACATAAGAAATGTGCACCCCAAAATACTGTAAAGGAATTTTTAATATTTGTTGCTTAACTGATATTTAATATTGTTGTTACAGTGAGAAGTGGAAGACAACGCTGCATGTGTTTTGGTGTGTTCACTTGCTTTTGCACAGAAGTCTGTTTTAGAGACAGTGTTGAAACAAATTAATTTGACTGTGGGGTGAAGAGATCGACTCATTTGTCATCGTCACAAACTACCTTGCGAATTGATTCAACGAAAAACAAAAAGGACATTTATCAAGTCTGTGGAGGTGAAGTATCCCAGGATCTTCTAGCTGCAGGGAAAAGTATAGAGCATGTACAGTACAATGTACACCTTTATAAGTGACACATCAAGTTCAGTAGTTTAACACATATCCTCCAGAACCATGGGGCAAGATAAAATAATTTGTATACCAGGAATTGTTAACTGACAACAAATGAAATTCCACATAAAAGACAACCTACAAAAACCTGTGTTCAGTTGTGTTCTGATGTATAACTGTGTAGTATCTTAATTACTCAAAATATAAGGTGTATAAAAATGGCAACCATATTTTCAGTTTCCGCAACCAAAAGCTGATTCCTGGTTTCCAGCCCGGCATCGCCTTGTAGAAGTTAGTTTTGAGTGTTGTCGGCATGTTTGGGTTGTCATTGTGAGCAGGTTGGCATATTAAATGCATTGCTCTTATATTAGTTGTCCATTTCCCGCCCATACAGTGCCACGATGTCGTTCGTTTAGTAGGAGTGAAATTTAGTTGGTAGTTTGTTTTAACTGGAGCCAAACTTTCTGCTGTCTTTCAGAACTCAGGATCCTCTGCAACCTCGACCCCCAGTGCTCCGGTGACTGGTTACAAGCGCATGGTCATTCCAACGCAGCCACCTCTGACTGCCACCAAGAAGTCTACGCCCAAACCTCAGGCTCCTGGGGGAGTCTCGTCTGTCCCCCCTTCTTCTGTCAGCCCCGTGGCCAAGCCTCAAAGCCACACAGCTCCTCAGCCTGTCCCAGCCTCTTATGCTACAGCTTCAACCCCGAGCCAGCCCACCTTCAATGTCCAGGTGAGGTCAGCCCAACCTGGCCCCCAGCATCAAGCCCCAATGGGGCACAATTTTGGCCAGCAGCCCATTCGCAGCCCTGCGCAGGTGCAGTACATGCCTGCCCAGCCCAAAGGTCCCGACTTTGCCTACGGACCACCACAGCCTGGCTTCTCCCAGATGGCTCAGGGTGCATACCCAGAGCAGTACCATCCAGGAGGACCACAAGTCGGTGGCTCCAGGAGACCTGAGCAAGCCCCCGCCCAAGCATACCAACCTCCAGGCCCCAAAAAGACCTACATCACAGATGTCCCGCCAAGCTTGGCTCCCTACACCGCTGGACCAGCTGTTCCAGCAAAGGTAAGAATGTTTTTAATCAAACACATACATGTATACACACTGATCCGTTGCCATAATTTTGAGTCGTTGTAAACATAGCTGAAAAAACCCCCCAACACATTTGTAATAGAGAAGAATAAATCCCCTCATTTATCCATCTATTCCTCCATCCATCCAACCTTTACATAATTTTCTGCCACTTTCCATACTCTGGAATGGTGGCATTGGTCTAAGCAGACTAGCCAAAGCATCCATTTCCCCAGCCACGTCTCCCAGCTCCTACTGGAGAATCCCAAGGCGTTCACAGGGCAGCTGGGATATTTAATCCCTCCAGCGTGTTCTAGGTTTGCCCTGTGGCTTCTTTCCAATTAGATATCCCTGGAATACCTCCACAGGGAGGAGTCTGTGAGGCGTCCTGATTGGGCGCTTGAATCACCTCGACCTGCTCTCGTCAAAACGACAGTGTAGCAGTCAGTCTTCAAACCCCTCTGGGAGATTTGAGCTCCTCTATCTCAAAGACTGAACCCAGACACCATGGGAAGAAAGCTAACCTCGGACACTTGTATCCAAAACTCTTTTTAGTCCATCAGTCGCTGCTTAAAATCTTGAGACTAGTTTGAACATGTGGAATAAGAAGGTAAATATAGAGCTCTGGTTTATTTTAGTGTTTAAATTCTGAGACTAGTTGAGAATTCGAACATGTAGAATCAGAAGGTACGTAGAGAGCTTTGGTTCAGTACATCTGCACGACTGAAATCACTTCATCAATTCTGCATCTTTATGAAGTGCTGACCCTCATGTTACGAGCCCAGGGGGTCACAGTACAAGCAGGCCTGGAAAACACAGCCTGGTCTCGTCAAGTTGGTGTTCTGCCAAGTCATTTCTTTCTCCTTGGCATCTTTTCAGTTATGTTATATACTATTTGATAAAGTAGAAATTTGCGTGTGCTGGGGGGAGAGTGTATACCAGAGTGCAAGTGTGTGTAGACAGTTGTGTGTGTCAGTGTGTTGTTTACTCTGATGCACATTTGGGTTTATGTGTGTATGTGTGTGTGTGTGTGTGTGTGTGTGTGTGTGTGTGTGTGTGTGTGTGTACAGTATGCATACATTTGTTCAGCATCAGATGGCAATGCATTGGGGAGCCGCTTGCCATCTTCCATCGAAATGCTCAGAATAAACAGTTGTTTTAACCTTTATGAATTTTTGAAAGATCCTCTCTGTTGGGGGTTTACACCATCTGATTTCATTTGTCTCATAAACAGCAGCTCATATTCATGTGCACCATATATATCTACTGGCTGAGCTCATTATTTTCATGTCTTTTTTTATTTCATTGTGTAAAAAAAATCAGTTGCATATCTAAATGTTAAAACACCTTTTTTTCTCATATCTTTTTTTAATGAATGGTTATATTTCACACACATTTCACCTGTGCATTCAAGACTCATGGTTTTTACAACTGTGCATGTAGTGTTGGAGTCATTAGGAAAATAGATAAAGTAAGAGGCAAAGAGGTAATAAACAAAACTAAACAAAAAAATAAAAAATCCTTCTAGCCTTAAGTGCAACACACACCGCCGCCATACGCCGTGCGTCAAAACGCTCGCCTCCATTATATTCTATGAACAAACCTGCGCCGGCCGCCGTGCCGCGCCGCTCTGCTTCAGACCACTGCTCTATTTCCAGCACGGCCAGCACTGCGAGAAAAGCCTTTTATGTACGTCTCGGCCGCTGTAGTATCAACTCAAAGGGATGCTTAACGTTATTAAGTTTTTCAAATTTTTAATAAGACGATTTTGATAAGAAACTCACCCGTGAAATCCAAGTTGTTGTTGTCTCAAAGTTTTTCCTCTTCTTCTTCCGTTACTAGCAGTTGGCAACCATTGGCAACTCGTGTAGGTTCAGCCACCTAGTGAGTGTACAGATTAGCAAATGATGTACAGATTAGCAAATGATTTGAGCTGATTAAGATTTAACAGAACTTAAATCCCGCATGGAGTCCAGACACTGGTGGAGGTGGTGGTGGCTGATGACTCTGAAGCTAATGGCCGATGAAGCAGATGAGGCTGATGAATCCGAGAAGACTAGGCAGCGATGGGGAGGTGGAGCGTGCACATGGCTGCAGAATGAAAGGACTACAGCAGAACCATATTTAAAACCAGGAGCAGTAAGTTGGAAGGCTAACGGAGAAGACGTGTCTCTGTGCATTGGTTGTTTGTGAATCAGCTGTAGAGCAGGTGATGACTCAGTTGACAGTCCAGGACAATGACACCTAGAGAGTGTGAGCATGCTTGTAAGAAGTGAGAGAAAGGGGTGAGAAAGAAAAATTACAGCCTAAGCATGGAAAGTATTCCTTTCTGACTAAACTTTCGTTGGAGCTTTATGAGTTGTGACATGTTTGCTGACATTTGCAGCAATAGTGGCGTCCAATGAAGTTCATTTTTTGGTGGATGGTAGGTTAATATATTGTAATTTTAGTCATATAAAGTTTATTATATGTCTGAGGAAAATGTTGATATTACCCCTGGCCTCATCTTTTTCCTCTGTTATTATTCCTTTGCGCATCCTTCATTACATTGCTAAATTGTTAGCCTCCTTGGCTTCTAGCCACTGGCGGGTTTTCTCATCACTTCACTGCCAAGCATATCATGTACACGACTTCCCATGTTGCAACCACAAGCTCATAAGTTCCATTTAAAGGCAGCATAAGTCCTCATTTTCTCTTGTAACATTAGAAGTGAAACATATTGTTTGAAAATATGAACAACTGTGTAAACTAAAAAGCCAAACCAGGCTTATGTTGAAACATAATAACAGCCTACTGTTACATATTTCACTATCGTACCTAAGACACTAGGACTAACTAGTTGTACACTGCACTACAGGAACAATACTGTTTTTCATTTACAGATTGACTTTTTTGCCTGAGACATGCAGCTCCATAGTCAGTTTTTGTAGCACAGTATTATCCATATGGCCATCAAGTTTATCTTTACAACCCTGAAGTTGCTGGCAGAAACAAGAAGCCTGCCCCTATATACGTCTGTCTGGTATCAAGGACTGGGTAAATGTTTATAGTTTTGACATTTTGGAACAATTTTTAGATCTTTATAATTTGTTCTTAAACAGTGTCGTAGGTGTACCATTTAACGCTCATAGAATTAAATACCCCCACAAAAAACATATTCATAATAAGTTTCAAAAGCATTACATTTAATCTTGGCAAGAGCGTTATGAGCCTGTCATAGGCCTGGCCTCAAGCCTTCAGAAGCAATGCGAGACGTTGGACCTTTTTATAGAACTGTACATGACTGAGAAGAATTACAGAACACTGTCGTCCCTTAGAACAGAGCAGTCTATGCCACAGAGACAGCTATTCTAATCTCAATACATCCAGCCTTCCACAATCTCTGGAAAGTGCAAGGCCCTTGAGTTTTCTTTAATTCAAGGATTTTATGCTGGTTCAAAATACAAACTGGGCCTCCCAGCCTCTGGGAATAGCTCATCAAGGACTGTACTTTACTAAATACAAATTAGCTTCAACATTGCAGAGTATCTTAAAAATAAGTCTAATTATATTTGTTCAGAACAACAGTCTACATATTGCTTGAAAAGCTTGCTTTGGTCCCAGTATGATGCATTATTAAAAAACAAAAGGTGGCGTTTAATAGATTTGTGAGCATCTCTTTGATTTCAGATAAAAGCAAATCACTAATTTTACAGATATAGCATGTACGCTATATATATTTGTCTTTCTTTCCCAAGGATATACTGTAGCAGGATAATGGGCTCTGTGCCTTCCTCCACCCTGTGCTTTATTTAAATGCTTTGAAACATATCGGGAATCTTAATGCTCCATATGCACACATTCAGTCGGATGATGTGCTGTAAATGACTCTGTGGCATCACATCATGTTTGACCCGACCCTCCCCTACAACTTTTGTATCCAAACCTTAGCTCTAATCTGACTTTTTGTTTATTTGTGTCCAGTATAGCAGCCCCTTAATGCCAAAATAAACCAGGCACTATAAAAGCAAGATTAGACTGAAAGCAAAATCTGTCAACTTTGCCTTTGTGATCATCACTCTGCTTGACCCGATGTCGTGACATGTTCATAACCTCTTACAAATGGTGTTAAATCTACTTAAAAGGAGTGGGTTGTGCCTCTTTTAATCTGTTGTGTGAATAAACCAAAACGTCGTCAATTAAAGGAACTATTTACATATTTGTTAGAGTTGATGTTGATTTTATGTAAAACCCGAGGGTTTCTCGGTGGGGGGTCTGTGACTGTGATTGAGGACTTTATTCAAGAGATCATTCCACATAATTGAGGGTATTCATAGAAGGTCAGTGTCATTAGAAGTCCAAGATGAAGTCCTTGGATGAAATTCTATGATCAAGACTTGTCCTCATTAGCTTGCCTGCTCTGCCCCCCACCTCACCCCATGTCAACCCCTGCCACCCAGCACCCAATCCCCTAACTTACTCACACGTAAAGTGAAGGTGTAGGAACAGCTTCTCTCATCAACAGGCTCCAACGATGCTTAATTACCTAAATCCACCCGTGTTTGATCTCTATTGTCATCCAAAAAATTAACAGATTTCATGGCTGCCGGTTAACATACCAATTTCCACGAGTCTCCCCTTCTATCCTGAAATTGGAGGAAAGCTAAGCTGGATGATGACTTGTGTTATTGCTGAGCTTGAGTGACGTTTGACAGGGTAGGATTATTTTTGAACTGCTCAATCCCTGCAGCCAGTTAAAGCCCCCTCGAAGGTCAATGATGGTTTCAACTGTCAAACATGTTTAAATATCTGACATTTCTCTGCCTTCCAGTCCTGACCACTTTGCCTTTTGACCTGCGCATGAACATTTGCATATGGTGACATCAGGAAGCGTCCAAAGACCATTTTTAGACATGTGACATGGCTTGGCATGAACCCTCATTAATCTCTCAAGATTGTGTTTGGAAAACTAAGATAGAAATCCTACCTTCGAAAGAATGCATCAAGCAACACCT